CCAAACCTTGGCTATTGTGGATAGTGCTGCAATAAACATGGGAGTGCAGATATCTCTTCCATATACTGATTTCCTTTCTTGTAGGTATATACCTAGCAGTGGGATTGCTGAATCATACGGTAGCTCTGTTTTTAGTTTTGTGAGGTACCTCCAAAGTGTTCTCCACAGTGGTTGTACTAATTTACATTCCCACCAACACTGTAGGAGTGTTCCCTTTTCTCCATATCCTTGCCAGCATTTGATATTGCCTGTCTTTTGGATAAAAGCCATTTTAACTCAGGTGAGATGGTATCTCACTGTAGTTTTGTTTGTTTGTTTGTTTGCTTTTTGAGACTGAGTCTCACTGTCACCCAAGCTGGAGTGTAGTGGCATGATACCGGCTCACTGCAACCTCCACCTCCTGGGTTCAAGTGATTCTCATGCCTCAGCCTTCCAAGTAGATGGGATTACAGGTATGCATCACCATGCCAGGCTAATTATTTTTTGCATTTTTAGTAGAGATGGAGTTTCGCCGTGTTGGCCAGGCTCGTCTCAAACCCCTGGCTTCAAGTAATCCACTCACCTCAGCTTCCCAAAGTGCTAGGATTACAGGTATGAGCCACTGCGCTCAGCCAATATCTCATTATAGTTTCGATTTGCATTTCTCTAATGATCAATGATGTTGAGCACCTTTTCATATACCTGTGTTTGCCATTTGTATGTCTTCTTTTGACAAATGTTTATTCAGATCTTTTGCCCATTTTTAACATAGATTATTAGATTTTTTCGTATAGAGTTGTTTGTGCTCCTTATGTATTCTGGTGATTAATCTCTTGTCAGATGGATAGTTTGCAACTATGTTCTCCCTTCACTTTGTTGTTTCTTTTGATATGCAGCAGCTTTTTAACTTAATTTGATTCCATTTGTCCATTTTTGCTTTGGTTGCCTGTGCTTGTAGGGTATATCTCAAGAAATCTTTGCCCACTCCAGTGTCCTAGAGAGTTTATCCAATGTTTTATTTTAGTTGTTTCATAGTTTGAGGTCTTAGATTTAAGTCTTTTTTTTTTTTTTTCAACTTTTATTTTTGGTTCGGGGGTATATGTGAAGGTTTTTTACATAGGTAAACTCATGCCATGGATGTTTGTTGTACAGATTATTTCTGTAAGATAATTAAACACAACTATTGGGTACTGAGTTTAATGTGTTGTTGTACAGATTCTGTACATTAAGCCCAGTACCCAATAGTTATTTTTTCTGCTTCTCTCTAATCTTTAATCCGTTTTGATTTTATTTTTTGTATACGGTATGAAATAGGGGTCTAGTTTCATGCTTCTGCATATGGATATTCAGTTTTCCCAGCACCACTTATTGAACAGACTGTCCTTTCCCCATTGCATGATCATGGCACCTTTTCAAAAAGGATTTTGCTGTAGATGTATGGATTTGTTTCTGGGTTCTCTATTCTGTTCCATTGCTCTATGTATCTATTTTTATGCCAGTGCCATGCTGTTTTGGTTAATGTAGCTCTGTAGTATAATTGGAAGTCAGGTAATGTGACTTCTCCAGTTTTGTTCTTTTGCTCAGGATAGTTTTGGCTTTTTTGGTATTTTGTGGTTCCATATGAAATTTAGGATTTTTTTTTTCTATTTCTGTGAAGAATGCCATTGGTATTTTGATAGGGATTGCATTGAATCTGTAGATTGATTTGGGTAGTACAGACATTTTAACAATATTATGTATTCCATTCGATGACCATGGAATATCTTTCCATTTTTATGAGTCTTCTTCAATTTCTCGCATCAATGTTTTATAGTTTTCATTGCAGAGATCTTTCACTTCTTCGGTTAATTCATAGGTATGTATGTGTATATATGTATATATTTATTTACTTTTATTTTTTATTTTTGAGATGGAGTCTCACTCTGTTGCCCAGGTTAGAGTGCAGTGGCA